GGCAGGGCGCTGCGGAAAGGAAGGTGTCCGGCTGGAGGGAGGGATCTTAAGTTTCCTCTCAGGGTGCGTTGCCGAGCAGCGCTGGCCAGCCCGACCGGGGCTGGGCTGCCCCGTCTGCGGGCAGTGTCCCGCTTGCAGCGTGGGCCTGCCCTGGGGAAGCCCGGGCGCGTTGGCGTCGGTCGGAGAAGCAACACCTGCCTACGTCGAGAGCTGAGTGGCCTGTGTGCCCTTATGGTGTGATACCGCGTACTGAAAATACTGCCCGAAGAACGTTTTTCAAAAGCGTTCATGTTAGGGAAGAAACGTTTCTCTGGCAGCCAGTCAGGGGTTGTGGTGTCACCTGAGGATGTTACTCCGAGTTGCCTTGGGACTGACAGGAAGGAGTCTCCTTCCTGTCAACCTAAAATGAGGATGAAAATATTCACCCTTAATGGCAAAGAGATGATAGGAGAAACATGCAAGTAAACAATCAATGTGACATAAAACCTCTAAAAATGTGTGTTCAATTAGCACAGTTTCTTTCTGATCTTGACAACAGTGTGGATCTACCTTGAGATGGAAGCTCTGAAGGGCAGGCTTCTCAATTTCATGCCTGCCTGTGGAGACTGTTGCGATGTGTTGCTGTTGCATTAAGTGAGCATCACAATTCGTTGGGTCTCTGTGTCAAGGAAGAAAAGGCATATTTCTGAGGAAACAGTGAAAATACAGAGCACAACCTTCCAGTGAGCTAAACCAGTGAAATTAGTAGGATAAGGGCAATGAGTGACAACAAAATCCCACTGTCAAAATTCCTCACCAGCTTGGGAACCCCAACATGCCCTTCAGTAAGGGCTGCTTAGTGGAAGAAAAACCTTCAATAACAGCAACAATTTCAGTTGTCTCTGCTTCAGTTTCAGATACAACCACTACCTTCTGACATCTCAGCAGCTGCAGCAAGTGCTTCTGGTTTGGCATTTGGTAGCTCTAAACCTTTGGAGGCACATATGCTGCAAGTCAGTCTGGCGTACGTAGGATTTTAGAGAAGGGGCTTTTGGTGAACTCCAAAATGCAAAGTATGTGCAAAAAAATATAGTCAACCTAATGCTGTGCGCGCGTTCATTGTTTGCTCTTGACATTGGATCATACAATTGTAGAATAATTTTGCTTGGAAGGGACCTCTGGAGGTCACCTTGTTCAACTCCCTGCTTAAAGCAGTGCATCATCAAATTTAGAGCAGATAGCTCCAGGCCTTGTCTGGTTGACCTTTCTCTTGAAAGCATTAAAATGGAGTTGAAAACTGGGTCTGAAATTTAGCCAAATTTAGGTACTAAGTGCCTCAAACCTTGGAAAGTAACAGAGTTTTTAACACTCTGAATGAAGCATACTCTTCCTTGCTAAAATTGGAAGTTGTGTTTCCGTTCTATTTTTGGTGTCATGATTCTGGTTCTCCAGTTGTGCAAGTCTTCAATGTGCACAGTTGGATTTTTGGAAGATAAAAAGCAAGCAGAAAAGTATATTGCCCTGCAGCACACATTTTTCTCTTAGGAGATACAAAACTGAAATATTTTTAAAGTAACATTCCTCTATACAGTATAAAAAATCAAAAAGGCTGATAAACCACTTTAAATTTGAAAGTTTCTTAGTATTTTACCTGCACAATTACTTACTTGAGTCCTGCATTTGTAGAGGTACAGTGTAATCAGCTTTATTTCTATGCCCTTAACCACATCAAATTCTTCCTGTGCAAAAGCAAGCTCTTGTGCCTTTCATGTCCAGTAAATGAATTAGATTTATTCACTCAGTGAGTTGAGTTTGATGTAATGAAGAAGCTGATGCAAGCCTTTATGTATCTTAATCCATTCTTCTGATGTCACAGTGTTTCTTAGTTTGTAAAGTCAGTCTTTGAAGAAGTTCCTGACTTCTAGGCAGCAGAGCTGCAAATTCCTATAGCTTCTTCTGCCAATTAAGATTTTGTCTAACCCCAACTTTTTTATACACCCCAGAGTAACCCCATTTTGGCTACAGGAATAAGGAATATTCTGGTAGAGCATTTCCCTAAAGCATCAGGGCTTCGCATGGGTCTCACAGATTCAAGTCCTCATAACGTTTGAGTGCATCTCTACATTCACGTTGTTGTATGTTTTCAGACATGCTTTTCTGTGAAGCTGATTATTAAACACACAATAGTGATTTTTTTGTGCATCTCTCCTTAAGTTACTTTATTCATGTTTTATGGCAGCTTTTCATGGGATTCTACAGTATACTTTGCAGTTCTTTCCAACTTTTGAGAGATTGATAAGTAGAGTCTTTTAAGTTTCAGGTTTCTGAACTGGGTTTAATACTCCACATGTTTAATTCCACTCTTTGATTTCAGAATCTGTCAGGACCTGCACCAAAACAACTCTGAAAAAAGAGGCACCTTGAGAACAAAAATGAACATCGGGAAAGCTTACAATACCTTTAACATCAGCAATGGAACGGATCTAGCTATTGGCTTTACCTCTTCTACAGTAGCTGTCCTTCTATTTGGGACAAACTTTGTGCCTGTGAAGAAATTTGATACTGGTGATGGTAAACTTATTTATATTTTTTTGTTGGTTTGGGGCTTCTTTTGCTAGTAGGAATGATATTTTACCAGCAACTATGAAAATTTCTATACCTGGAGTTATAAATATCACAGCCTTGATCTATGGAGCATGTTTTAATTCCTTGCTGTTGTTAGGTTATAAAGCAATAATGTATTGGTTCAGGATGTGGCAGATCTTTAGAAGAGCCTTGTAATGTGTTGCTGTGCACTTCAACAGTGATGATGTTCATTTCATGAGCATTTCACAATGGCAAGGATTCTCAAATACATACAGTGTTATTTATACTGAAAAAGTTGTTGGACTGTGGAGTATTGCCTTTCAATTGTGGACCAAATGCAACATAAAAAAATAAAAAATTGAAATTTTAATACTTTTATCTGGTGACTCAGTAGGAGGAAGCAATTGCTTCTATTTCTTACTTGGAGTTTTATCACTTTACTGTGCTATGTTCATGTTGTATTTGCACATTTATACGGAGCATAGTCAAATACCAGATCCCTAGATGAATAAATCTGCCATTGTGTTATTGCAATAATAGTATCTGCAGTGCAGGCTGGATATAATCTCTCTCTCTTCTTTGTGCCAAATACAGCCCTAACAAGACAAGGCTATTTTAGAGAAAAAGACTTAGCTCAGCTTGCATAAAGTTAACTGATCTGCCAAGTTGACCCTTAGAGAGTCTGCAAAGGTAGAAGAGATCTGAGCAAAGTTTATATCGTTCTCAATAACCTGGATTAGTGAAAAAGCCTGGTCCCTGAGCTTTGAAGGAATTTTGTCCTGTGCAGTCATCAATGTCAGCTGCTACTAGGGTGGTAGGAGAAGTTTGCGGTTGAATATCCTCTTTGTCAGAAGCCTGTCAAAATTTTCATGTGTTTGAGAATTGGGGCTTGTGTAAGCTTTGCCCAGCAAAGTGTCTTTTGCAGCTGTGTACAGAGAATACACAGTAGGAAAAGGCTGACAGACTTCTAACACCCCACCCTAAAGTACATCCTTTGAATGTATTGTAACATGGTTACCTGAAATTCATAAAGGAGGTGGCTACCTTTCAGTTTTTTTCTGTACTATTTTATCTATAACATAGTATATTAAGAGATTCACACATGCAGTATTCTACAAGTTCTCTATTGTGTGCATTTGTTTTTTCCATAGGCATGTTTTTCCAATGGATTCTCTGTGCCTCCATATGGATAGTTTCTTTGGTGGTCAATTTAATCCAGAATTGCCCCCGGTTTTGGCCTCTGGCTATGGTTGGGGGTTTTGTGTGGGCTACAGGTAAGAATAAAGAGATTCTATTTCTTGAAACACAAAGTAATCCTAACTCTTTATAAAAAAAAAAAAAGTGATAAAAACTTTTCCATATCTAAGATGGTAGTTATTTGTCTTTTTTAGTGTCAGTCTTTATGGAGCATTACCCTTATAGCCAATATTATTTTATTATGCTTATTTTATAAGCAGCAAATTCACACCAAAAGTGACTTTAAAAATGGTATTGAGGAAAAATCTGTGTTTAATGAATTTATTTTTACAAAACACTGTTGCCTACCAACTTGTAGTTGCCTAAATTTATTTGCCTTCTGAACAGTCACAGAGTCTAAAGCAAAAATATACAAGTCCAGTTTTTAACTTTAATTTTTAATTTTTTTTAATTTTCATTTTGGTTTTTGTATTTCAGGCAATGTCACAGTTGTCCCTATTGTTAAAACTATTGGCTTAGCTCTTGGTCTGTTGATATGGGCTTCTTTTAATTTGCTGACAGGTTGGGCAAGTTCAAGGTGAGTATGTTTCAGTCTTGTCATACACAATTAATGTTGCCAATTCTTCATTAATAATTGCAGTGAAAACACTATCACCAATAAAGAGGATTTATCATATGTATAAGATCTTTTTCCCTGCAAAGTACTCAGGTTAATTATTTAATCTTTTTGTTTTCTTCTGTCTCGGGAGGAAGAAGGATGCCCCATGATGTTCATTAACATAATTGAGTGAATAAATAATGTATTTGTTAATGTAAAACTAGTACACTGTCTGTATTTTTTCTTCTACAGCATGGGCTGATAAAATAGTATAAATTAATTTCAATTTTTAAATACCCAGATTTTAAAAAAAATCAATGTAAATTAAATTAGTTTAAAGATTATTTTTGTAAAGTAGATGTAGCTTATTGCAAGTCAACTGAAGCACTGATCCAATATTGCAAATATAAACTTAAGCAGAACTATTTGCATGAGTAAAGATTCCCAAGACTGGGTTATAATTTTAGTATATGTATGCAGTGAGTGCAACGAAGTGAAACTGGTTAAACATTCCAGGTTTGGTTGGTTCGGAATTGACCCAGAAGAAGTATCAAGACCAATCTTAAATTATATTGGAGCTGGACTTTCACTAATAAGGTAAAAATTTATTCTTATAATAAATTTCTGTAACATAAAATATCATGTATTTAATAACCACAGGGACAATTTAACTAGAGGGCAAATGCAGATTTTCTGCAGACTTACTGCAGAATTTATGAGTCGTCCAGTTATAAGTGTTGCAATTCAGAATAGAAACATACATGGTGTCCAGTACAGTCGTGAAACTGTTACTCATAAACACAGAAGTATATTTTTATGCTGGTAGGCATGTTCAAGGCAAAGCAGTGATGCACTGATTCTCCCCCTAGCCAGATTATTCAAATGGTTCACTTTCCTTAAAGTTTGTGAGAGAGGAAAAACTGACAAGAATGATCTTGGTGAGAAAACCTCTGTGAGATTTCCAATCTGACTTCACTCAGGGTACAAATTCTGCCTCGTGGCTGTAGAATATGCCACAGGACCCCTTCCCAGATATTTCAGGGTCCATGAAAAGCCAGAGGCTTTGCATTATCTCTTGTCCTTAATAGCTCCCTGTCTTGTACCTCTTAAGCCACACTTAAAACTCATGAACAGTGGCTTCATTTGCGATCTTCAGAAGGACTTACACTCTTATCTTTTGTTTATTATTTGTGTGAGTGCGCATCTTGGTCCAAACACAGAGGAAAGAGGATCTTTGTTACACAGCAGTGTCCTTGCTTTCCAGCTGGGTGGCCAGGAAGGTCTTTTTAAGAACATGACATTGGCCCTAAATTCCAGGAGCAGTAGGCTTGCCATAAGCATGCTCAGCAGCAGATGCATGTAATGCCTTTAGGAAAAGAAGGGTGTGAGAATATGGAGCCATTCTTGATTGCAAGGAGAGAGCTGCTGCATTAGATTCATTAATTTTGCTTCCACTCTTCCTCTTTCCTAAGAGTCTGCAGCTTTTTACCCATTACCATTACATGTAGCACGTGACTTTGTGAGGTACTTGCAAAATAGTAACAGTACTGCTGTTCCTGACTGATTAATTCATTCGGCTCACCACCTGCTTCCTGCCTCTTTCTGAGATATCATGGAGAAGTGATCAACAGGGAAAAAGATTGTGCCCAAACGTGTTTTCCTGGCCAGCTTCACAAAGCCTGTGTATGTTGCTCTGCAGAGCTCAGAAGCATTTCATTTTAGCCTCCTATATTGAACCTGTATACGTTTGTCTAGTCCCTCTGGAGGAAGCTGACATCCTTTTATATCTATCCTTATTCCTTCAGAAGGAGATGAATCACTCTTCAAATGGAGACATTCTGTTTACAGTTATGAGAAGGAATTCCTAAATCATTAAAATACCTTTCATTAAAAATATATATATATGTATATCTCCTGCCAGTTCAGATTCACAGGTATTTACCTGATTTCCTGGAGCTGGGGGTATAAGTAGTAATGTTACCCTTTCTTCTTCATTTTATTCACTTAGTGCACTGGAGCACCACTGAGCAATACCTCTTCTCCTTCCACATACACATGAGACCCTGTAGGAGCAGCATTCCCCCACTCGCATTTCATAGAAGACTAACATTTTTCCTTGAGCACAGAGCCCATTCTGTGCAGGTTTAAGCTGTTCCATATAGAATTTTCATGCAGATACCCTGTTGTATGTGTAGTTTAGTACAAAAGGGCACTGTTAACTAAAGCAACTGTTGCTAGCATGTGGTTGTAACTACACACTGTAAAAAAAGAGACATTTCAGTAGAAGAGAGATCTAGAAAGTGATACAAAGACTAATTTATTTACTTACTTAAGTTGTTTGTTAAGACTGTTAGAAGCAATTGCGTTTTTAAAATATATTGAAGTGACTCTATGGCAATAATGAGAATAAAGTAATATGCCTTCAAATATAACTTTTGTCTCTGGATAGTAAATGTTACATCCTTATGAGCTGACATGGTATTTATTGGTGTCTTTTTCTCTTCTGAGTGCTGTCATATTTCTTTTTATAAAAACTGAAATCCAGAGTTCTTCAGCTTCATTAGAAAGTACACCTTTACTGAGAGAAAGTGTAAGTACTCTACAGTTGTTACTTTACAGCAGTGAAAGTACATATCCATTTAAAAACAAAAAATTTGTTTAACGTTAACCAGATATGCTAGGATTTGTGGTAGGCTACATAAAACTGCATAAATATGCATTGATTGTATTTAATTTGTGGATCCAGTTGAATGTGAGCGACAGAAAAGGTTTTTCTACGTGTTCTTTCTCTATTGTCAGCCTTAAATGGCTTAGAAGTCCTTTTTCATTATGACAGAGGTTATATAAAAGACAAAGTGTATTACTTTCCTGTCTGAGAAGAGGAAGAAATTTTAATTAAAACTTAAGTATAAAACTAGGAGGTTGCTTAGATGAAAAGGAACAGGGTGTATAACTCTTATCCACCAGATTTTTGCGACATTACAGAGTCAGAAGACTGTCAAGAGTTGCTGATTCTCAGCATCAGCTGTGGCACAGGTTGGAGGCCAAGGAGGGGTACCAGATTGGCTGTTGCTCCTTCAGGAGCCCAAAGAATGCAACAAAAGTTGGAGAACAGTAAGCTCCTACAACTATTGTGCCTTACTCTTGTAGGTCAGTGATGCATCAACTCAGTTGCTACCTGAACAGAGATCCCTGCAGAGTTTTGTAGCTGTGCTCAATGTTCACTAGAGGTTCCAATCTACCAGAGAAAATTGCAAAAGACAGTCTGGTTGCAGGATTAGAGTAAAGGGATGTTGCAGTTTGTTTATGCTGCAGACAGGAGTGTTAATTTCCCTGTTTGCAAATAGTCCTAATATTCTGATAGTAACACCAGAGCTATAGTCAAAAACACATCATCAGTAAAGGCTATAGATTAAGTCATTCATCAAATTTAATGAAGGCTGAGTTTTGAAAGTCAGATCTACCTGCATTCAGATTTAAAAAAAAATGCTAGTGAGTGCTCTGTTATGTAGTAAACCCAAAGTCCATATCCAAACTCATAAACTTTGAGGTAGGTAGATCCAATTATTATTTTTTTATTTAAATAAAATATATCTTTTCCTTTCTTCAGAGTATTTCTGTAAATTCCTATTGTTTCTCCTTCCATTTTCATTTTGTTTTCCTAGACCAAAACTGTTCTGTATAATACAATGTTTTAGATTTAAAAAAACAACCAAAAAAACCAAACAAACCTGAGTGAAAACTCATGTTTTTCTGCAGTCTATTAATGCTTCTGAAGATGCCTCTGATGATTCATGGGTGAACAGACTTTCTCCAGCAAAAAAAAGACTCATGTAAGTTATTAACAGTTCTTTTATTGGTGCAGGCCAAGTAGCCAGAGAAAGTAGTTGAACACAGACAAAGAGCAGAATTTGTGTCCTGTGACTTTCCTAGCACAGTCATGCACTAACAGATCTTGAAGTACTAGACTAATGTGCATATCTATATATGAATAGCTGCTCAATTTATTAGATTTTTCCCTTCACACTGTTGAGTGTGCTTTACCTTGTCAAGTATTAGTTACTACTACAAAAGAACAGCATTTGCAAAGTAAATAGCAGTAGCAACTAAGTAATTACAGAGCTGGTTTTTATGACCTGGTTGATTAGCTTCCAGCATGGAAGGAGCCTATACTAATAACATGCTTCCAGGTGTGGTTTTCAAGTGAATACATCTGGAGAAGGCATGGCAGTATGCTGAGGAGACAGCAGAAGTGCTCCAAAGTGGAAGCAGCAGCTAGTAAGGGGCCGGTGTGGGGAGCGGAGACAGCCAAGAGCACAGCAGTCTGGAGGTGGAGGAGGAGACCATGGAGGCAATGAACCTGGGAGTAGTTATTAAGAATGTATAGACTGCAACAGTAAAGCTGACAGTGGGAGCATTTTAACTATGTTTTTTGTTGGTTTTCTCCTAGCTCTGCTTTTAGGGGATCCTAGGTAGTTGATTTTCTTGTCATTAATCTAGAATGAGGGTCTTTGGGCAGGAATTGTCTGTGTTACTTGGCCACAAGGTATAGGTAAACTAGGTTACTACATTGAACGACTTCTACACTAGAAAATAAAAATGTGCTAAAATGTATTATTTTTGTACTGTTGCTAACAATTTTCATATGATACAGAGTCTTTAACTGCAGTACTGGACTTAAGTGTATTGTCTACTTCCCTAATTAATGCTAGGATATTTTCTCTGATTTTTGCTCTTTTTAAAGAGGATGTAGCCTGGCTGTAGTAGCTGGAATACTCTATGGTTCCAGTTTTGTACCAGTACTTTACATCAAGGACCATGGAAGAAGAAATGAAACTATATACACAGGAGCAAGTCAATTTGGTAAAGGCTAACAGGTCACTTCCATTTTATTGCATCAGTATATTGTGGTCTGCTTTCGTAAAAGCATAGAGTGAAATTCTTGATACGCCTGGATATATACCATGATCATTTATCCATTCTGCACTGTTACATGTTGTTGTAATCATAGTACTAGTAATCCCTTTTTCCCAGAGGTGAATTACAGTATTAAAAGAACAATGAGAAACAGCCCAGAGGATACCATACTGAACTTACAGTATTTAATGCCTTCTGAAACATAGCTAGCATTCCCAAAATACAAAGCTCATATGCCTGGAACATGAGGTAGACAAGGGCACAAGCTGTATCAACTGACTAATTAGTACATCAGTAAAGGAAGAGAAGTGTGATGATAATTGATGAGCAGAAGAGAAATATAACAACATAAGTAATTAAAGCTTTGTCATTTTTTAAATGGAAACCTTTTAACATAAGCCTAACCGCCAGTTTCAAACATTTCCTCAGAAACATTTTCCTTAAGATTTAGTATATAATCTTATCAGGTGATACCAGCAGCAGCTTAAGAGCAAAGTATTGCTGAGGCAGCGTAATGTTGCCATTAAGAAATAGTTTGTCATGTCACATAAAATTTCTCTTGAATACTACAACTTCTATATTCCCCAGCTAGATAAAACAGATGTTACTATTACTGTAGCTGACTTTCCTGTTGAGGATTTATGACTCCAAGGAGATAGAGATCACCTTGCTACATGCTTCTGCTTTACCATATTGGAAGTATTCTCTTTAGCTCATACCAAGTCCATAAAGGATTTATTATTCTTAATGGTTATAGTGATCAAAACTGTGATATGTTCTTCAAGATTAAAAAAAGGACAAAACTGAGCCGTGTTTAGCTTGCACAATACATAGAGTTGTCTTGCCCTTAAATGTACAGAAAAGAAACAAGGCTTTATAGAGGAATACAAATGTAGCTGGTAAAAGAGGATGTGGTTATGTAAAATCCCCACCACTGTTTTGTAGTCTCACCTGAGGTTTTTCTTAAGTTTTTAATAAATTCTGTAGTTTGACTAATAGAGTTTGAAAATAACAACTCACAGAAATGCATAAAAGCTTGTGACAAATGCTATGTCAACACAGCAGTTAATTCATGTTTAATATATGTGTGATTGACCAAATCCATCCACAGTCAGGCTGGCAGCTGTATTCATCACAATCACAATTGAATTTGAGTTGTTAGCAGTAGCACCTTATGTGTTTTTGGCTGTGTGAATGCTATCAGTGAAATAAATTGAGTTAAAATTAATAACTGATGTTTTAAACTGATACAGTTTTGTCATTTCTTTTTCAGATTTAGATTATGTTTTTGCACACTTCAGTGGAATATTTCTTACAAGTACCATCTACTTTTTGATCTACTGCGTAGTCAGGAAAAATAGACCTAATGTTTATCCCCAAGCTATATTGCCAGGTATGACTGGTTTTTAAATTAGCAATTAATTTCAGTTACTTCTTCTGACCGTTTTGCAGTGATTAGTTCAAGCTATGTAGTTTGCCTTTTAAGTCTCTTCATTTGACTTTTTATCTCTTTTGAAAGATCGGTCCTATTAGGTTAATTAATTAAGGCTAGGAGACAATGACAAATTTGTTCTAATCTGAAATTAAAACAAAATGATACTGCATGCGGTGGATTTTGAAAAACTGACTCTGCCAGAAGAAAGAGCACATTGCCCAGAAAATTGTGAACTTTAATTTGCTACTTCAGCTGGAGTAGCTGATTTTATCCCTTGAGCTTTCGTTTAGATTATGAGAGCCAGCTTGTTGAAGTAGTTAACATACTGGAATACATACATACAGTTTTTGTATTATGCTGTAAATATAAATGTTCCACAAATGGCTGTCTGTACCTTGCTGTGCATGTTTTTGATTGGGATATATTTTTCTAGGGTTTGTTTCTGGTGTGCTTTGGGCAATAGCCAATTGCTGCTGGTTCATAGCCAATCACTATCTCAGTGCTGTGGTCAGCTTTCCAATAATTACTGCAGTAAGTATATAAAAAATAAAATCTGTGACTAGAATTAAAAGTGAAGGGTTTCCCCCCCATGTTTGTGGAATTAAGTTGAAATTATGATGTGTTGAAATTATAATGTGTCTAGAGCATCTTAATCAAGAGTATACATTGCCTCTTCTTCTACTTGTTTGTGGTAGCCTTTGTTTTTTTAGTAACGTACATGACTGTGACAGGCACCATCACGGTGAATGCCAAGCATGAAATAATAAAGGAACAGAAAGTGTGAGTCTTTAGGTTGTGTAAAAGCCAAAGTGCTGTAACCAGAACTATATCAATATTAAATAGAAAACTGAAATGATTAAAAGAAGTGTTTTATGCTTTCATCCCAGTGAGTACATTTTGTTCTGGGTGTTTTCATTTGTGATTTTTATGCTCTAGCAGTCCTTTTGCTTAGTTAAATCAGATATTTTTTCTTTTTACAGTTCTTGAACACACACGGATTATGTATTGCTGAAAATAATGTTCTTATGCAAATGAGGCGAAAAATAGGTTGCCCTGTTTTGTCTGTTCTATTCCTATTTTTATGATACTATACCTTTAAAACACTGTTAATTTCCAGAAACTGCATAAATTCCATCACTAGGTAAAAATAAACTTTGCCTTTACTCTCTTGCCAGTCTACTAGATGGTGCTGCAAAGGTGGATAACTTCTGGCAAATGAAAGTTCATAAATATCAAAAACAAAGTTTTGCTGAACAGCTGTATTTTGGAAGCAAACTAACAAAACAATGTTAATAAGGATTAAGCTTTTCCTCAAGATGCAGTAAATCAGAATAAACTCTGCAGTATGCAATGAAAAAAAAGACTTGGGATCATTCTAATTAGAAATTGAAGGATTAATGGAAAGCAGCTTTAGTAACTCTGTTATCAGTATGCCTAAAGGGCAAGGATATAAAATGACAAAATGAAAATTTTAAGGACAGCACTGATGAGAAACTGCCTGTCTGGACCACAGGTTTGCAACTGCTGCTTTACCTCATCCTAGAGAGAATTTCAGGCAGTGATGCATCACATCCCATTAACAATTTGTTTCATTTATAAAATGCATTCTTCTTGCAGCATACATTATCTAGAAGGTGAAATAACACCTTATCTATTATTCAAATAATAGTTGGCAATTTCACTAGGAAACAGCACCCACAAATACATTCAGCATGAGACGATATTTACTGCTGACCTAAATCTGTATTCTACCAGTGGTACTGAAGATGGAGAGAAGATCACTGTCCAAACATCTGTCAAGTGTTTCTGAGAGCAGCTCTAATGGGAAGCATTAACAGAGCCAATTTTTGCTTCATATTCAGTTAATATTTTCTCATCAGTCATGAAAATTCAGATCATTGCTCCCACAGGGGAAAAACTGTATTATCAGGAGTGCCTGGAAATTGTCGTTGTGTTTTACTGTTTGCTGTTAGCTAAGAAATCTGTATGACAACATCACAGATAATCAGTAGTTTTCCTGACCTGTCTTATCAGGCTGGCTTTGCTTTGTCCAGATGCCTGCTGTACAGGAAATATATTTATGTTCCTGTCTCTTGATATGATACTGACCAATAAAATCAAACATTGTCTGATTAGTTAGTCATGCTAATACAGGAAATGTTAGGAATATCCATGCTAGCTGCCAATAAACGTGAATAGTCCTCTGAAACGTGGTAACATTGTGGACTGAAGTTTGGACTGAAGTGAGGCATATTATTTGAAGCCTATTAAAAGAACGAATAATAGCCAGTGCAGTTTCCACAGTGTAATGTAGAAAGAAATTGTGCCTTCTCTCAAAAATACAGTCTCTGGCCTCTTTAGCCCTTCTTGAAGATTTTATTGTGTCTTACTTTGTAAAGATTTCAGTGATGTTAATGCTTTTGCCATGAATGCCGTAATTATATGGAATGGAAAGACCTAAATTTGTAATCCAGACAAAATTCATCCACGCTGAGAACAATAATGAGAAGGCAGCACATTTTAATAAAATGCTGTAACGTACAATTGAATCTTATTCTTTAGGGTCCTGGCCTTGTTGCTGCAATGTGGGGAGTCCTTGTATTTAAAGAAATCAAGGTAATCGTATTAGGTCACTTACCTAGTCTCTCTTGCTTGTGTCTAGCTCTAGGAACAGCATGACTTAGTATATAGCTTGCTGTCTTGCATTTCTCCTCCTTACAAGTATTGCATTATGAAGCTGAAAGTCATCTCATACACTACTAAGTTTTCCAAGACAGGTGAAGAACTGTGAACAATTTTGACAGGATTGAAGATTTGAATTTCATAGCTGTGTGAGCAGCAGTGGGAATAAATGAAGACTGTAGCAAGGCCAGAAGGCAGGATGCCAAGCAGAGCCTCAAAACTATCTTTATTTGAGCCAGTTCTTTCAGTGGGAGCAGGGGAATGAGCGGTTGTCCTAATAATCACATAAACAAGTAGATTAGATTTTTAGGGTCAGATTCACCAAAGGACCAAAAAATGAGACGAGGTTAGTTGGTCTTGCTAATTACAATATAATGGAGATTCCTAAACTGGTATGACAGTGATTGCCTAGAAGAGGCTAATTTACGCTAATGCATGTTAACATATATGGCAGAAATTATTTTTCTAGTGGAATTTGAAGCACTGAGCACTAGCACGTTCCCTTAGCTAATCTGTCCAGGATCCTGGATTAGGTACCTAATTTCTCATCAGAGATCATCTTCCCCAGTATTTTTGGTGACTGTGTAAAATGCGTTGGGCATGCTTGGATTAGGAATTAGAAGTTCTCCTTTATCTTTCCCACTGCAGATTAATGTTGCAGCACTCTAGAAGACTATCATCTTCATTATCCAAATCTTTATGACTCACCAAACCTCTCATCCTTTTCATGCATTTTAGAATAGTCTCTGCCTAAGTGCTTACTGCTTAAAACTAATCTGAAAATAGACAAAGGCCTTTAAAAATACTTTTTAAAATTGTGGAATTAATTTTGTGAATGTTTTACTAAATATGTGGCATCATAGATTCCTTGTATTAAACTGTTTTGAACAACAAATATGTTACAGACATTATATGAAATGAAATGGTATAAGATGTACAATTTCATGTAATAAATTTACTAATTTTGTTATAAAATGAAACACTAGTTCTTTATTTTACCTTTTTTTTTTTTTTTGGTGAAGTGATACCTATTATGACAACACTATATTTTTTCTTTTTCTCTCCTTTTTTTATCCAGGGACTGAAAAACTATGTGTTGCTCTCAGTAGCGTTTTGCATCATTTTGGCTGGATCACTCTCCACGGCTTTTTCTAAAGTTTGAAAGGATGTTCTGGACCAGTAGATGGTGCTAGTGTGTAATATAATCAGAAAGACAATATTGGTATATCGCAATAGGTAGTAATTTTCAAAATGTATGTCCAGCTTTTACCCTAACTTGCGTCAGGCAAGTGAAAAAGAAAACCTTTGCTAAATGTTCCTATTTGGCATGAAAGAAAATCTGGAAATGTTTGTTTCTGCATTTCTTGGAACAGTAAAAATATCAAAGGATTTTATTCAATGGAGCTAAATGATTTTATAGTTACTAATTACTTTTTTTCTGGTTCAGGTACTAAACTTCATGTCATCATAAATTGTAGTTCACTGTTGTGATGGTGGATAAACGGATTTTAATTCTTAGTCTGTAATATTGTATGTATTTGCAAACTGATTTGTTTTATTATAACACTCTGTCTTACTGACTTGGATGTAACATATGTCTTGGAGTATTCTTTATGGAACTGATACACATGAAGTTGTGCAGCATTTTTTTACTTCAAAGCATTATTCTTTAAAGTCACCAGTTTACATAAAAACTTTATCCAATCTTTCCTTTCTTTGAAGGAAATAGAGAGAAAAAAAAGGTGCTGTAAAATAAATTACTTGTGTTTACTGCTAAACTGTTTGTTTAGTTGCAAGAACATTATGTAGAAATCATCACCAGGATGCAAACAGTTGGGAAAGTTTGGGGCTTTTTATTTCAGTTGTATGGGACTTTGCAAGTAAACATTACATTTCTGTAACATGTGTTGCAGTATGAGCTAAGTATGTGGTTCACAGTTTGTTTCCAAATAAGTTTAGGTATTTCCTGAATACTTTCTTTTCTTTACTATGTAGCATATTCAAATCTTAAAAATTACGTATGGCAGTATTTATTACATTGAAGTATCATGTTAAAACTATCCAATCATTGTTCTACCCAAAGCAAGGTCATCTATATGTAAATCACTTCTGACAGTTATTGTCTAACTTGTTTCTTTAAAAAAAATAAAAGAAGTAGGTTTCACAACATTTTTGGGCAAACTAACCAGTTTCTAACTACCTGTCCTGCTAGAAAACCTCAACATCCAAAAGAGGTTCCCTATGAGGAATGTTAAGTCCACTGTGCCATGATCACCACTGACGTGGAGAACTGTTCATTAACTTAGAGCAACTGACCTTTATATGTGCAAAGCATGTTGTCTGAACCTCCCCTTAGTCTTTGCTTCAGTATATTAGACAACTCCAGCTCCTGCAGTCTTTCCTTGTTTG